AATCAAAAGCTAAAAAAGGAAGATAAAAAGAGGGGAGAAAAAGAAGGCTTGTGAGGAGATCAGCCGCGTGTGCGCGGTTTTGACCGAGGGGACGGATCCTCGCAATTCTAGTGGGCGACGTATCACTCATTGATTGGCTGCTTTTTCCTTTTTCTTTTCTTTTTTTTTTTGGTTGATTTGGTTGAAATTAGTTAAAGCTTAATTGAACATCTTTAATATTTATTTTGGGGGGATGATTTTGTCTGCATTGGGAAAAATTTTGTTCTAATTTAGTGCTTTTATCTTTGTCAGATTGGATGTACCTAAAGTCGTTGCAACTACCCTTTTGAAGTGCATTTTGTTAAGGAAATTTTGGCTTTGAAAGTATATATTTGAGGTATTGTGATGTGCATAAGAATTAAGTATCTAAAAACGAGATTCATTCACATGATACGGTTGAAAATAAAAATATGATCCATGAGATTTTGTTATGAACTTATGATTAGTCTTTCTTCGTGGCTGTTCCTTTAGAAATAACTATATTATTCTGTCTTTGAACTATATAAATTAATTTTGTTTTTTTATCTATTAAAGGAGTTAAAAGTATAATTTAATTTAATTGAGTTCACATTCAATAATACTAGTAAAGTTGAATAATGAAATGATGATGTAAAATTTAAAAATATTGATTTTTAGGTTTAAATACTATATATTTTGGTTCTCTACTTTCGACTCTTATTTGTTTTGTTAATTGTATTCTTAAAAGCCAAAGCAAGCATAGCTCAACGGCAATTGGCATATATCTCCAACCATGAAATTGTGAGTTCGAATTCTCTCCCCAACAAAATTCATTTGACGGCCGATTTTCTAGCCAAAGTCGCACACCATGATCTTATTGTTGTTTGTGGCTTCAATATTTTCCTTGAGATAAACTTTCACACCACAAGCTAATTTAAAGTTTCACTAAAAAAGGCTTAAAATTTTTTTTATTCCTTTTAACAGTAAAATCGAATCTTTTATAACTGTTGGGAACGAATTTGAAGGAATCTATGTACTATGGGGATTATATGCCTTTTTGCAATTCTCTCTCTTTTTTCTTCTTATTCAATATATGTGAGCACTTTCTTTCTTTAACCCTATTTTCTAAAGAGAAACACATGACACATACTTTTTTTTTTCTTTTTTCAAAAACCACTTTATAGTGTTTTGAAATGTTTCACAAATTGTTAAAAAAATTAAAATATACGTGACCAGAAAAAAAAAAAAAAAAAAAAGAGTTTTGCAATAGCCTGCTAGGATTTTCTTTTGATAAAAAATTATCGTATTCTGTATATTAGAGTTGTGGCATAATTAAATTATTCATGGGTTAGTTGTTTAAATTAGTCTACTTTAAATAAATTTCTTTTTCCAAACGATAATTGGTATATAGTGTTTCAACTTATTTAGGAGTTATATGTCAGTAAGTAGGGTTAGGTAGTATTTTAGTAGATTTTTTTTTTTTGAGACACAGTATTTTATTAGATTAATTAGTTATTATGGATTGATGTTATGTATTTTGTCTGTAAAATAAAGCTCAAAAAATCTATCTATATTTTGTTATATATCTACGGGCCGTGTACCGTGAGATCAAGTCCAAGAGGCCGAGCAGTTGATGGGCTGATTCCATGGGCCGTGTCCTTTAGGCCTTATTCTAGTCATTCGGATTTAGAAATTCAAAAAAAAAATCTAAAAACCTTAGGTTTTCTATCTATAAATAGGAGGAAAGTATCATCAACGTAGGATGGTGCTACAAAACTTGCTAGCCTTAATTCAAATACGTAGATAAATTAACACCACGGACAAAAAAAAAAGTATTTTTTGCAACAATATTTTTTTGCTGCTTTATGAAATAGCAATGGTTGCTAGCAACACATGAACAAACCGTCACAAATATATATAATTATAGCACTTTTGTTGCAGCAATTTTTCAAATATTGCAATTCTATACTCAATTTCAATAGTTTATTAATGACATCTTTACAAACTGCTACAGATATATTTATTATAACGATTAGTGTGCAACACTTTGATTAACCGCAGTAAGAGAGTATATTGCAAGCAATTAAACTACAATGCTTGTGATACCGTTGCAATATGTTAACATAAATGCAATGATTTTATTAAAAGAATTCAAGGGTCGCTGCAAATCAGTTTATTCGTAACAGTTTTGAAATTGCCGCAAGAATTAAAAAAAAAAAAAAAAAAACTCTTCAGTTATGTCGTGACAATTAATTGGAAGCAATTTTGTCATTATTTTATATAATTATAGTGATTTAATAATGACATTTTAAAATAGCACTGCAAGTTTTAGAAATGTGTAATGTTATATATAAAATTTTTAGATAGCTAAATATAAATTACTAATTACTTTCTTAATTATAATAAAATTTATTGTTTGTTATATATAAAATAAAACAAATTTAAACCATTATCATATTTATGATATTTAGTTTTCCAACCATAGTTAATGTTATTTTATAATAAACACTAATATTTAACATTTTCAATTTGCAATTTTTTTTTATCGTAGCTCATGTTGATATTAAAAATTAAATATTGTGATAGAAATGAAAAAGGAAACAAAATAATTTTATCTTTAATTATTAATTTATTTTAGCTAACTACATGTAAGGTCTATTAGTAAATGTAATTGAATGCAATTTTTTCTACCAAATAAATATTATTATATTTTTTTTTCTATAAATAAACATTAGTGAAGCCCTATACCTGTCATTATAATTTTTATATTTGTTTTATTTTATTTTATAAACTTTTAAATATTGTGTTTTTTGCGCCTTAAGTATGCACAAAGGAAAAAAAAATCAATCTTTACCTTTAATTTTTTAAATAAATTATTAAAAAAACTGTGACATTAACCTATCTCTATTTTGCAATGAGATATTAACAAATTTTTTTTTCATCTACTTTATCATATCATATGTTTAAAAGGATAAGTACTCTACGCACATAATACATTAGGTGGGTTTCCAAATAAATTTAAATTATTGACAAATGATCAAGAACCTAACTATTTTGTTCTAACAAGACATTTGAAAGTTGAAGAATGAACATTGTTAAAATAAACATGAAATTTAAAGTATTAGAATAAGATATAAATCAAATACATTTGTATTAAAAAGAATCAAATACATTTAATGAAAGTGATTAATTAGTTATCTAATTAAAATAATTATTAAATAGTTGTAAAATTTATTTTTGAAAATTTGAAAATCTTGTTTTTTTTTTCCTTTTTTGAAACATTGAAAATCTTGTTTAAATGCTCTAAAAAATAATATATGACAATTATTTTTAAATATAAAATTGAGATATTAAGATATTGGTAGAAGTTTATATTTTCTTTACTAAAAAAAAAAAGTTTATATTTTCTATTTAAAAAATAAGCCGTTATTCATTTTTTTATTTAAAAAATAGTGATATCTTTCAAATTTGGAGACGTTGGCGCCCCTCCATCTCACAGAATTAGGTTCCTCTATTTTATTCTTCTTCCACAATCCACACTGTTTTCCTCCGCTTTCCTCTTCCTCTCGCTCTCTCCATTCGGCTTCTACCACTTGCCGTGGCACTAGATTTTGCATCCAACACTAACAGGTTTGTAGTTTTTCTCTATCTCCTTGTTTCTTCAACTTCCCTCTCCATCCGTTCGATTTCGTGCTGCTCAATTTTTTGATTGACAGGTTGTGTAATCACTCTTATCTTGATTTAGCAGGTTCGTGTATACATTACTCTGTCTATTGATTGTGTTGTCGATTTTGTGTTCTTGGTTGCATACAATTCATTGATTTCATTAGTGTATTTTTTGTCTATTGATTTTCTGTTAGGAAGTTTGTAACTCTAAATGTTGATTATTTTGTGTTTAGACCGAAATCGCTTAAAGTTCCCTGCAAAAGTCATCATATATATTTATAAGAACTGTTTGTACAGTTACCGATTAGATCAGATTAGAAGAAAGTTCAGTGGCAGAGATAGCTCACTATGGAGAAAATTAGCGTTGCTGTTCGAGTGAGGCCATCTGTATCTCAAGAATCATTCCGTGGAACGTATTGGAAGATTGACGACAATCGAATTTCGCTTCACAGAGCTCACGGCACGCCTATATCCGGCAATTCCTATGCATTTGGTACATTTACAATCCACTTCCACCATCGCGAGCTCAAGCATTCTTCAATTTGCATAAATTTCCTCATAATTAGCTCATATTGTTTTTATATTTGATCTTTGTCTAACTTTGTGGCCATTTTTGTTTTGGCCGGCAGATCATGTATTGGACGAAAGCTGTACTAATGGCAGTGTTTACGAACTTGTTGTTAGGGATATCATTCATGCTGCAGTTGAAGGTTTTAACGGTATGCTTCTCTTTTTCTACCTTCACTGTTTCATTTGCTAAAACGTGAGAGGAAGGAATGGGATGGCCTGGTTAGGATAAAGGTTGACCTCTCGAACTGTTTGAAATATATCATTATTTGACCAGGGAATGTACTTATTATAATTGCTAAATTCTGGGGCAATGTTCGTCCCAATCGTGGCCGTGTTTATGTGCGTTTGCATTTATATATTGTCGATTTGCAGGAACCGCTTTTGCTTATGGGCAGACCAGTAGTGGTAAGACGTTCACCATGAATGGTTCTGAAAGTGATGCAGGAGTTATTCACAGAGCAGTTAAAGACGTATTTGAAAAAATTCACACGGTAAATTCTACTATGGATCTCAGAAGTCAACGTGACATCATAAAAAAAGATATGCTTGCAGTTGCAGGATAAAACTTTTAACTCCACCATTTTGCTGTATTATCAGATGTCAGACCGAGAATTTCTCATTAGAGTTTCCTACATGGAAATTTATAACGAAGAAATTAATGATCTATTTGCAGTGGAGAACAATAAATTGCCAATTCATGAGAGCCTGGAGGTTGTTATACACTCCCTGATATCTTTTCACTACTTTTTCATACGTTAAAAAACAGAATTTAGAACTAACTGAGCTCTCGCTTCAGCGTGGGATATTTGTTGCAGGTCTTAAAGAAGAAATCGTCAATAATGCTGATCAAGTTTTAAAGCTCATCCAGCAGGGTGAAGGTTGGAAAGAAAATATGAATGAGGATTTTGGTTTAAATTTGGTTTCTTTAAATTTAAACGCTCATCCGTATCTGTAAAATTTTTCTTACAGTAAACAAACACTTCGGTGAAACAAATATGAATGCCAGGAGTAGTAGGTCGCATACAATATTCAGAATGGTATGTTTATGTTAGATCTTTGTACAAAATCCTTTTGCCAATTACCCTTATTTATATGAGTTCATCTTGTGCAGGTCATTGAAAGCAAGGGGAAGGACAACGGCGAGAATTTGAATGCTGATTCAATACGTGTCTCTGTATTGGTTTGTACCCTGCTAAAACTTATAATCTAGTCAAAGAAAACAATTCTTATTTGAGTTTCTTTCATTTACACCTTTTTATTTTGCTTGTATTATTGGGAAATAGAATTTGGTAGACTTAGCTGGGTCTGAGCGTATTGCTAAAACTGGAGCTGAAGGAGCACGTTTGAAGGAAGGCAAGCATATTAATAAGAGCTTAATGATTCTTGGGAATGTTATTAATAAGCTAAGCGAGGGAGTTAGGCAGAGGTAGTTTCTTTTCCTGGAAAACTCCTTTCTTTTTTGGAAGAACAATGATTGATGTTTTACTCTGCTAGGACAGGGGACATATTCCCTATCGAGATAGTAAGCTGACACGCATACTCCAACCAGCTCTTGGTGGTAATGCCAAGACTTCAATAATTTGCACTATTGCTCCAGAAGAGGTATCCAATGAATTGTTCTCCAGTGAATTGTTCTTTCAGTCTTCTTGTTTAATGCATAATGATGTGCATAATTTCAATCTTCACATACATATATATACTCACATACATATACTCAACATGTGATTTGCTTAAATTAATCCTCTTTGCCTTTAAATTTGATATGTGCCTTAGGTACATGTAGAAGAAACAAAAGGAACTCTCCAATTTGCTAGCAGAGCAAAGCGCATCACCAATTGTGTTCAAGTGAACGAGGTTGTTCTTCTGTAATTAGCAGAGTCTTTACAACATTGTCGCTCTCTTCTATTTTCTTCGCATGTTGCACTGGACTAGTTTTCCTTTTTTTCATCATCATGAAGCAGAAACTTCAGTGCATGCTAGTATTTTACAGTGTCCCACAACTTCAAAGTTTTTACGTCGGCTTGGTTAGAACTTAAGCTATGTGATTACTCCGTCTTTGATAAGATATATCTTTTGAGTATCGTTCCTATCCCTTTCGATACTTTCGTTTATAAAATGGTCAAAACTTTACGTCTACTATTTTTTTGATCCATTACATTTGTTTTTCTATATGATGTATTCTTTACCCTTCTTTTTAACGTTGCAATTAACTCTCCTTGCAATTGTCCCAGATTTTGACGGATGCAGCATTATTGAAGCGTCAAAATCAAGAGATAGAGGAGCTGCGTAAGAAACTTCAGGTGATGCTCAAATTTGTCTCACTTGAGAAAATTTTTTTCAAGTAGTTGACATATTAATTCTTATATTAGGGATCACATGCGGAAGTACTTGAGCAGGAGATTTTAAAGTTAAGGAACGATATGTTGAAGGCAAGTCTTTTAATTTTTAGCAGATCTCCAATGTTTTAGCATGTATTAATAGTTCTACGTATTAGGATCTGCTGTATGTAATATTAATGCCGATTTCAATTAATCCAGTACGAACTTGAACGAGAAAAGTTGCAAATGGAACTTCAAGAGCAGAGGAACTCACAAAAAGAACGCGATCAACGTATCATGGAGCAACAGATGAAAATTGAAAATCTCAATAGTCTTGTCAATCTTTCGGAGTCTTTACAAAGCTCCTGTCAAAGTCAAGTATGAAACTAACATTATCTGCTCTACATTTTGACATAGAAAAGTTTGACTGTAGAACGCCATTATTGTTGTTTGGTGGTGCTTTACTAAATTATCATACATGCTCTTGGMTGTAATACCTCTCTCAGCTTTTAGTTTTGAGATTTTTGTTTTAAAATTGAACTCCAATACCAAACTTTGTTGCAACAATCTTTTGTATCATTTTTGTAGGAACAAGATTCTTTTAAAAGAACTCTCAAAGAAGATTTTAGTGACAGTTGTAATAAAAGCCATGAAGATGCATTTATAACACCTTGTTTGAAGGCAGCGCCTAATGCGTTTGTTGCGAAGCGATCTGATTATTCTATGCCCACGGAGTTTAGCCCTCTTCCAGATGCTTTTAGCAACGTTGCAGATGAGGATACTTGGTTGAAGTTGAATAAAGGATATGTAGCCAACCTTGATACACTWCAAACGACTCCTGCAAGAAAAGTGCAATCTTTTCCTTTTAATGAAATAACTCCTGTGAGTGTTTTTTCAACAAGAATCTCTTATACGTCACTCTATCAAGCCTCTATCTGCGTTATTTTATGATTATGAAAGATTCTTATCCTTTGTTTGTGGTAATAAACTTACAATTTAGGTATTACTACTGTTTATGACACGAGCTAATATCAATACTACACATTTCTCGCTTATCTGGTTCAGTGATTCTATATGTGATGCAATTTTCGTTCAATTACTGGGTCAGGGTCGTTGCAATGAGGGCCATAAACAAGAGTTTCAACATCTTGAGAAACAACTGGAGCATGCCATCATGGAGAAGAATAGACTTCAGGTCGCTTTTAATATCTTTTCCTTTTGACTTTTTATCTGTCCTCATGCTCGTTCATCCATATACATTTCTGTGTGATTGGTGATTAATGCAGGAAAAGCACGAGGAAGAAGTTCTTATAAACGAGAAACTGAAGGCAGAGATATCAGAGCTAAAGCAATTACGAKTAATCAGGGAACTTCCGCAAAAGATGTGCCATTCTTTGGCGATGTGCAAAGATGTTTACATGGACATCTTATCTTCCCTTCAGGTACAATACAATTTGATTCCTGATTTTACATCTCCAAATCCGCTAACAGTTTTTAAGAACATCAGTCAGGTAACACCAATTTTTATTTTTATTTTGCTATTACTAGACTTCCATATGTGACGAGAAACCATCAGCTGTAAAATTGCTCTCAAGCACTTGTGAAATTGGAACATGCCTCTTCACTACTCTGGAGGCTCATTTATCAATGGCCATGAATTGGCAGAGTGATTCGGCAGTGAATGATTCACCTATTCAAGAACAACATGAACAACTTCGTGCGAGGTTGAATAGCATAATGGAATCTCTTGTGCTATCAGAAACATCAATAATTGGTAGTGAGCAAACGACGGATCCATTAAGCACTCGTCAGTGTGAGGTAAATGCAATGTCACCATGAAATTCATAGATTAGGATTTCAATTTTCAAGTAAATGGTTTTCTCTAATTTGTTTTGCTATCCAACTTTTTCTGACRAAGGAATTTGCTGAAGACGACTTTTGGAAGGAAAGTTTGAGTACTGAACTCGACGATATCAGGAAAATATGCCATGGCCTCGAGAAAGAACTAGAATCCAGCAACCACCTTTTGGAGTTATCCAAGCAACAATATGACAACTTAGACAGAGAATTCAAGCTTATTAAAGACGAAAGAGACTCTCTGCGTAAAATGGTGTCTGAATGTGTTAAAAACGTAGAGCTGGAGAAGGATCAGAAAGAAAATGCATTGAAGGAACTGAACACTGAAGTCCAAAGACGAAGAGATATAGAAGAAGGGATTAAGCGATTCAGTACAGCATTTGCCTCTCGACACAAATCATTCATGTCATTCAACAGTGAGCTAAGGTCCAAAACCGAGGATCTGAGAACCCAGAATCCCAAATATTTTGGGGGTTGAATTGGTCATTTATGCTCGAATTATTTTGAATTTCTGCTCGTTTGTGGCCTGTATTATGTCTTGTGTAATTATGTATGCAGTATCAGTTCCCCCAACTGAACCCTTGGTTGAAATGATGATACAGCTCTTCCAGAGTAATATGTTGATAAAACCTACTTGTATGATAATATTTCTAAGAATTCTATTGTATTAATGGATGGTTCGTGGGATTAATATGGTTTTAAGTTGTTCATGTGGCGATTAAAGTGTTATCAGTTTAAGAACTTCAAGTTAAATAATATAATGAGTAATGCAATGTTAAACTTGTTTTAGTATTTAAGAAAGGTATAAAAGAAGTAAATTTAAGAAGTTAAAATTTGAAATTTCAGTCTTTTGATCAGCTTTCCCGTTCTTGAAGACTTTAGAAGGAAGCRAGACTGATCAAGTGGGGAKGGGKTTCGAACTCATGACCTTTTGGTCAGAGATATGTCTTAACCACTGGAGCTATCTAAAAGAAAGGGTTTGTGCTGCCCGCTCTAAAGGTTTTCCAAGAACTTCCTTGGGTGGGAAAGTCTAGACTAGAGCCGACGACTCTAGAGATGAGTGCTAGCCAATGGTTAATACTTCAGAAAGCACCCTTTCTTTTTCTAAAAGCATAAGTAGTAAATTCAGGCGGGCCAAGCCCTTACCCTGTGTTCTCTCCAGGTCGGGTCGGAGACGAAGACTGGCAAAGTTCATCGTCACAGTAGTTGGAAAAAGAAAAAGTCAAAGCAGCAGCAAGYAGGGAAACGCGGGATGGAAGGCGGGCGGAAAAGGCTTGGCTTTGTTTCACAGAAAAAGGACTAAGACGCCGACCCCAAACGTGAGGCACTTCRAAGTGCCATTCACACTTTGATTCTTTAGCAAGTCGAGTAACACACAACCCTTCGAACTTACAGCCACTACCCCCAAACATCTTTCTATGACGCCCTGCCCGCCAGGTTGGTTGGTGAGCCTAGTGATAGGAAACTATCTAGCTTGGTTCGGAGAACACTGTTGATTGGTGGCAATTCAAGACCTTTGGGCTGAAAAAGCTCGTCGATCCAAATGAATCATTCTTCTGGTCTCTCTTCGCTCCCCGGAATGTACCGGATTTTTAGCACGTACAACCATCAAACCAGAGACCAAAGCTGGGCTCGACAAAACCGACCTCTCGATCTACTTACAGCTGCCCAGGAAGAAAAACGTCGTCTAGGCGTTCCCTGTTGCTCCGATCTCCCCTACGCCTAGGACGGTCTGCCTTTTTCAGGAATTAGATGATCGTTGGTGAAATAGTGCGCCACTCGGACAGCACCATAAATGCCAGCCTTTTATTATCACTTCCGGTACTGGTAGGGGCTATTACCATGTTATTAACCGTCTTGTGCAACGCAACGATAATTGGCCCTCTATCATCTTCGAGACATTCTCAATCACGATAGTGGCCTCTTGGAACTTTAGGGCTTTGAATGGGCGCCCGAGCCAAGGGATCATTCAGTTTCTACCGAAATCGGCATTAAAAAAATAGGCATATTGGGAAGGAACAGGAGAGGGCTAGAAGCGACCTTTTTCGATTTCGAGGCTTGAACCCTGAAAACGGAACTARACCCCGCAAAGATCGCTTCTCAAATATGCACTTCGAGCTTCGCTAGAATTGGCTCAACAATCCACTTTGTTCTCCCGGAAATCACGAAGCCTCCTCCTCAGATAAAGATGTCTCTGATGCGACTCTCCCGGCAAGAACGGCTGGCCCAACT